TGCGAAGTATCAATGATCTCCTGTAAAACATTTAACAAATCAGTGCGTTTAACTTTCTTTTTTAAGGCCACAGTCCGCTTTTTTAAAGCGAAATATTTGTATGGAGTGACATCTAGTGTTTCTTATTTCATTACATTCCTGTGAAACATCGGGTTTGCTTGACCAGAGAAAACGGATACATTCTAAAATGTTGTTGCAATATAGGTTTTAATATTAGGATGTACAGAAGTATAATAAATACCTTAATTTGATTCATTATTTAATTCTGTACGAAAGTTCTCCTTCGGAAGATCTACAGTAGTTTACTGCACACGATAGTCTATTAAATACCACGCACGTAGTCTTCCCCTCCACTAGAGGTCGCCAGGAAAGTTTCTGCGCCGTAATAATATTATACGCCGCACTCTGTATCCCCGGAAAGGGAAGTGTTTTCATCTGTTACTGTTTGGGTTGGTTTTCCAAAAATGCCAGTGGCGGTGATCATGGGAGAGAATTACAACAAACTTCTGGAGCAGTGTGAAACACAGGAGTTGGAGGTATATAGCCGATTCCCTAAAAACAAGGTTGTGTGTTCATTGCCAGCCAGGACCTGGTGTAGAGACGCCACAACCGTTCAGTAACATCCCGGACAGTGAACACAACGTGTTGCTGAAGCAGCCGGCTTGCAGTCCTCAATTACTCGGTTACCTAGGATGCTGTTGTTAGACCTCGGGTGGTTGTTTCAAGGCAGTGATCACACTAGGGAAATATTTTCCCGATGTTTCATATGTAAACAGTATTTTTGGAATCAATGGTTTGCTGGTGCTGTGTCGCCTGTTCTATTCAAGTATACACGCATGTGTTTTATTGTCGTTTCCAGCTGTGTCGGGGGGGCAGAGCAGATCAGATCTCTATTTATGACTAGAAGGCTGCTCCCTTGAGCCAGGTGCCTCATACGAGTTGTGCACAGCTGTAAAAGTCTGCACCAGATTTGCTGGGGAGAAACCACGAGAATAGGAGAGCTTTCAGTCTGGGGTTGGGGGGTCACATAGCCACAGCCCGCTTAATCCTGCAGAAACTGGGGTAACCACGAAACTAGAGAACCGCTACAGTTGTAACAGCAACGTTTGTACGCAATGTCTGATGGTATTCATTTTATAAGTATTGATAACTGACGAATTTACTGACAGAAATTGTTACCAGTACGAGAGTTGTTGAATAGTTGGCAGTTAGCTTGCAGGAGATTTTCTACGTGCTCTATTAATACCTTTGAGTTCTGATAGGCATTACTTTCCTTGGTACTGTAATGTGTTTGCGGTATTCTCAAAGTGAAGGACAATGCAAGTATCTCTTACAATAAAAGATCGTCTAGTTTTGTTCGTTAGCTTAATCACTGGGATTTTCAAATTCAGTAACTGAAAGCAAAAGTGATCATATCTCTTGAATATACATTACTGCTTTTTTGGATATGATGCTGAAATTCATTGTGGGGATGAATTTCTTTTCTCAATTCCAATTGCATCCAGTGAAACTCGTTTTTTTAAATGGTGGCATATTTGAATTTTTGCATGATTATGGTAAAAATTCCACATTTGCAAAGCATTCTGAAATATTTAAATACATATTTTTGTTAAAAGTTACATTTATTATTGCCATGTATTTTCTGTATTTTGTATATAATTACAATTTAAAAAGTGCTTTGTTTTCTTTCAAGGCACCTGGTGGCATTGCGACTCCTCAAGTGTACGGGCAGCTGCTGGCCCTATATCTCCTGCACAATGACATGTGAGTTATAGCAGAGTACATGTTGTCATTCAGAATCTGCCACTCAGGATTTACTGTCATCAGAGCAGGTTGTAGGCTCAGTAAATTACATTGATGGGCTACTTTACTGTGCATTGTGTAGGCACATGGGCTACTTGTTCACAACTGTTATGGATCCTTAACTTTTCATAGTCAAAAATAAGTTTCGAAGTTACGAATCCCTTCATAATCTAATATAGGGCTCTCCCCTCTGAGTCCATCCAGACATCTTAATTGTGATGGCACAAATAGATAAATCTGTATTGTGTTGATTTGCCATGACAGATGATAAGAACAGCTAGGATTTTCTTCCATATGGAGTAGATTTTAATATTGGTAATCAGAGTTACAGGTGTAATAGATTTCTTCTTCCCCCTTATCAAAAGAAAAATCATAGGAACTTAGAAACATACAAGTTTATATGTAGATAGAACTGTTTTTATTGTTTGCATGAAGGTAATTGAGTTTCATATACAAAAAAACATTTAACTTTAAGCATAACTAATATCTGCAAAGACAGACACTGGTTTATAGTCTGTGTCTTAAAGTTGTAATAGCAGAGCACAGTCAATTCATCAAAGGTAATTACCTAGTCTCATCTAATGCAGCTTTAATGTTTTTGTGATAAAACACCATGCAGCACAGAAAACTGAACCATTGAAAGCACTAACAGCAAATGGCTTTAGCATAGTTTTACATGTTTTTTTTACATATGGCACTGGTTAAGTCTGTCATGGTGAAGCTGGTGATTTACCTAAAGCAACAGAAGCATTGCACTTGTAAGCTTAGCTTTCTCGAGACCTACACGTTCATCCCTTAGGATAGGTATATAAATAAAAATTAAAAATGGGACAGAGCATCAAAGCTGTTGGTCCCAACTATTTAATTCTTGTGGGAGTCACAAAGCTTTTGTGCACCCACGTCTTTCCTGTGTGAAAAAGCCCTCAAGAGACATCAAAGCCAGTCTGTCTGGACTCACCACATGGAAAGGATATGGAAAGTACTGGTTTGCATTGTTCTGGAATTTGAGGAATGTCTGTCTGTGTTCTGTTTTTAGGAATAATGCCCGGTATCTTTGGAAGAGAATCCCACAAGCAATCAAATCTGTAAGTACTTACTAAACTTTATTTGTGATGTATTAAAGTGATTAAAAACTCAGATATATTTAACATCAGCAGAAGACACATCTAACAGATAAGATGGTTTGGGTGTTTTTTAAAAGAAATCAATGGTTCTTGTTTTTGAAACCAGTTCTAAGTCTAGTTCAAGGCAAGTTTGCTTAGAAGTAGACAATAAGCATTAACATTTTGACAGCAGTGAAGTGTAGATTGCAAAAGAAATGTGCCCACAGAGCCTCAGATTCTGTAATATCTAAGCCCTTATGTTTAATACTCCCTGGTTTGGAAAACGTTATGTACTGTTATACTTAAGGTAATTTTTTTTAAATTATTTTACTTTGAATGAAACAGAATAGAAAATGAGGAAATTAAAAATCTAGCTGCTGTGTTTTTAACACCCCTTCCAAAAAAAGAAAATTGATGGTTCTTGCAGAAGATATCTCCAAACTCTCGATCATTTTTAAGAACTATAATTTTAGTGCTAAGTATAGTCTTTGAATTGTTTTTTCCTTTGAAGTATAAAGATAAAAATAAGAGATAACAGAATGCTGCACTCTTGAACTGGGATGATTGAATCATGAGGGATTTCATTATCTCTGCCACGTGTCTCTGGCCTGCAGTGGCATCGACAGCTGACATTTAGAGCTGTTGGGAAACAGCTTAAGTAACCTGTTCCTGGGCTTCAGGGACATATAGAACTTTCTGTCTTTTTATAAGCTACACTCTGTTAATGTTTCTCTTTATCTGTCAGAAGTAAGCAGGGCACAGCATAAGATTCTGTATTTACCTCTCCTTTTCGTTAGTTTTACAACACCAAATTTGTTGTTGTTATTGAAGTGCCTTAGTGATTCTGTTGAGAAATGTCCCAAACAGTATATGTATATACTGTATATGAAGGCAAATTAGTGAACATTTAAACAGTTCTTATTTGGAGAATAGTTCAGCCCTGCTTTAGCACAAATTGTTGTTCGATCCAGTTGGAAGTAGAGTTCAGTTTAGTTGATTCCGCACAGAAGAAAAAGTTTTAATTATTATACACTGCTTTTAAGTGTATAATCTTAGTGGTGCTCTTTGCATTGTTGTATAAGCTTAAGTGGGCTTTATACTCTGTTTTTACCATGATGTAGAACTGTGTATTTATACAATAGACTATAGTATATTGTTGGAGTTTTGTGTTTTTTTTTATTTCCTTTAGTCATATTAACCAAGGACAACTATTAATGACATTATTTCATGCAGCACAGAGTCCTGCCTTTAAAATGTATTTCAAAGAAATACAGAGCAAATTGTAAACAGTTCTGTATTTTTTAAGGCAGTTGAACATTCACAAGTCAAAATAAAAAATATATTGCATAAATAGTTTGAGCTTGTTGCAACTCCTGTGAGAAAAATCAATTTGCTTTATGCATCATATGCTTTTCTTGTTAAAATTGTCATTATCTTTTAAATATGTTAGGAAGAAACATTAAGTTTACAGTCCTTAGCCTGAGATTCTGGGACATGACATGTAATGTAGACAAGTGCAGTGTGCCCCATGTAGTTAGCAAAAATACAAGCTATAAATATAAACTAATAAGCACAGGCATTGGAAATACTTTTTTTGAGAAATTCAAAGGTGTTTGGTTTATGTCATATCATTTACATTTTCTATACAATGTGAAGAAACACAAAAAAAAGTCAGGATATACAATACAAAATGTAGTATTTAAATAAAGGGACGTTATGCTAAAGTTGTCCGACGTACATTTTATGGAAAATATATTTCTGCTCTAGAATAAGTCAAGAGTGACATGATACATTCACAAACTCAAAGGAATGTCTTACAAGGATTTATTTCAGTGCCCATGTACATTTACAGTCCTTGGGACACCTCACAGGGTAAAAAGTCAAAATAACATTTTACAGAAATAAATATACAAATTAAAAATGTGGAAAAGGAGAAAAGGCAAACATAATTAAAACTCTACTAAACAGGCGAGTCTTTAAAACTGTAAAAGAGTTAACATTTCTCAGGTTGGCAGGGAGGGAGTTCTACACTTGTGGAGCAAGTCCCCTGAAAACCCACAGCCCTAAATGGTCTCCATTAAGACACCCATAGCAAACCCCACAACAGTGGCATATGTCTGTGAGTGGACAGTTCCGCATATCTAACTTATGTTTCTGAGTATTAGGTACGTAACGACTATGTGTTGTAGTCGATAAGGTTTTAACGGGAGGAAACAATGTGCAAGAGAGAAACCATTCGAAAAGACAAATTGGTGGCAGTGGAGTAGCTGAACGAGAGTGAAAGTTTCTTCATTTTGGCTCTTGCAGGCTAACCCTGAACTGGCTGCTATCTGGGGTGTGGGCCAGCGGATCTGGCAGAGGGACTTCCCAGGAATATACACAGCAATTGCTGCTCATCAGTGGTCTGAAACCATTCAGCCAGTCATGGAGGCTCTCAGAGGTACTTTCCCATGATTCTTATCTGGTGGCATGACTGCTGCAGCAGGCACGTAAATTATTAAGTCAGCCAGCCTGCTTAATCACCTGTTCTGAGATTTCACTTCGATATAGTTTTTTTGCTGTAAAGGCTCATTCCTGTTGCATATGTGTCTGCATTCATAAGTTAGTGACTTGGGTTTTGAACAGTTTTCGTATTCTTTGGGATATTTTTTATATAAGGTCAACATTCACCAAAAGGAAAAATTAAAGCCTAAAATAATTGTGATGCCTGGTGAATGAGGCATCACTATTACACAGTTTATTTGCATAGTTGGTAAACAATTATTAAATCTTTCTTAAAAAATAAGATGCAGTCATTTATATTTTAGATTTATTACAGACATTTTAGGACAAGAAACTTTCTTGTGCTACATGAAGAAAAGTAAACATAACGGGAAATATGTTACAGTATATCTCCTGTTTGTGTTACTTTTCTTTAAAAAACTCAAGAAGAGATGTTATCTGAAAAATCCCCAAATAAGATTGTTTTTAGTCACCAGTTATTTGTTTTATTATACCCACCCTATTTGGAGTAACCAGTTGTGTGTTTTCCAAGTCTCAGCTTGTAGCTATGAACCCCACACGGGAGAATTAGGAGGTGTTGGCAATTTCCGTCAAGCCACTAGTTTTTGAACATGACACTTGCATCACAGCCTCGTACCAGAGGTGCAGCGCTGTTTGGGAGAGGGGAACAGCTCTTACCAACAGTGCCACGTGCCCAGGAAACTGCAGGGGTCTTTGAGTGAGTGAACGCTGGCTGAGTAATCCCACTTTACTCTCAGGGCGCTTAGCTGACTGTGAGCCGGAGATTGAGGAATCACAGTTGGCTAGTGACTTGACCCAGGCTTGAACTTGTGATCACATGCTCAGCCTGTATTCAGGTGAGCTCCTTTACCAGTTGAGCCACTTGACAGTCCTTGAAAAAAGAAATTCCTTAGTTATTTATTTGTCTTTATGTCACACAAAAGGTCCTTTCAATCACATGTGATTAATATTAATTAAATATTATTAAATATTAATCAAACAAATAATTAGCTCTTTGTGCACAACTTCTGTCTGGGAATAGACCGGACGGTCAGTTATTTGTCTTCTGCTGATGAATACATGTGTAATTGTACATCCACACGCCTACATTCAAAATACCCTGAGCATATTAACTTCAGTATTCTTAACATACTGACATGAAAATATCTCAATATTTAGAGGTTTTAAAATATCAGCTGGTTGAATTAAACAGTTTATAATGCTTTGTTGAATGGAAGTTACACTTCATTATAAACAATGATTACATGAACAGCTATGATTTTTAGAAAAATATATCTTAATTTAAAAAAATCTTCAATTAACATCCACCTTAAAATGTGCAGGTTATAGATATATTATTATGGACCATTTCTAATGCTAATTATTAATGTTATGTTGTAAATGGTTACCTCTACGGCTTTTGTATCTTTAAGAAACAGAAGTTCAGAAAATGTTAAATGAACCTTACCTTTTTTTGTTTGAATATGTGCTGTCTTTCATAAACTCTAAACCAGATATATCCTAAAGTAAATCCCATTTTCAAGATTAAAACAGATTTTGGTGATTGTTGTATAATAATTAAGAAAAAATAATTCACAACAAAATATTAATTAATTAACAAGTATAAATGATCACTCAACATATAAAGTGCAATACATTAACTTGAATGCACAGAACACAAGATTTGATTAATTCTGAAGACAGCTTACCATTGAGCAGCAGGAGTAGAAGACTGAACAAGTTAGATCAGGCTTCTTCTGCCCAGAAACATGCTGTATTGATCCCTCTCCCTCCAAAGTAAACTGATATTATGCCATCCAACATTGCTTAATACATTTGTGTCTTGTTATAAGTGGCTTGTCATTTGACACTAGTTACTTTTAGTAGTCAAGTCATAACAGCACATACTGAACCTTCATAATAAACTTGCACAAGGGTTGTGTGCAACCAAATACTCTGAGGAAGAAGTGTGAGTTTGAGCACATGACTGATTATTTATGTTGTGGCAAATAACCACAAAAACCTATTTATGTATTTATTTTTGGGTGTTTTTTTAAATGTCCCCACTCCTAAAAGGAACCTGAAATTGAATTTGCTTTAAAATAATTGTTCACAGTTGTTTTTTTGTTAATCTTGGAGCATCCAGAGAAATCTGATGTACAATGGGAAGCATCATTGCCTTATTGCATAGGCTGCATCATTACATATTATTTAAATATATGTACAATTATATATTTTTAATATCTTAGGTTTTATTATTTCTTTAGTTCTATCAACTGCATGTGTTGGGACATACACATGTACTGTATATATGTTAATCTCAACAAACATAAAGAACATTTTGTTTGAGAGTCGATGTGACATCCTGTTTTTTGGCAACAGAAAATGTCTTGTGAGGTATGATGAAACTGGTAAGTCAAAGTCAAATCCTTGTCACATGAGGCCTGTTTGTTACATTAAATTTGTCCTTACTGTTTTCCTCCTCTGCAGAGGAGCAAAGGATAGGGGGTGTCATCGTGTTGATACAATTTCTCCGAACCTAAACTCATAAACAAGCTTGGAGGAATCCAGAACATGGGGATCGTTTGTCCCTATGCAGCAGGCAGTATAAATATAGCAGGCTTTTCTGTGCTTGGACAGATCACAACGAACTTTGCAGAGATCGACAGCAGCTACCGCAACAGTTTCAGATAGCTCAGAGAGAGAAGAAGCTTGTCTGGTTCAGCTCAGAACTATCATAACAGGGAATATATAAAGGAGTTTTGAGACCGAGCTCGTAATGGATATCAAAGCCGACCATATCATCACATCTTCGAGTCCGATGGAGAGCTTGGAAAAGCAGCTGAGTTGCCCCATCTGTTTGGAAATGTTCACCAAGCCTGTGGTGATTCTGCCTTGCCAACATAACCTTTGCAGGGGCTGTGCCAACGACCTCTACGACGCAAACAACCCCTACCACTATTCCGGTGGGATATTCCGCTGTCCCACTTGCAGATTTGAGGTTGTCCTGGATCGTCATGGGGTCTACGGGCTTCAGAGAAACCTCCTGGTTGAAAACATCATTGACATTTACAAGCAGCAGCTAGTGAGCACTCCCGAGGCTCCACTCAAGACCAAGAAAGTTGCCGAGCTCATGTGCCAGGAGCATGAAGACGAGAAGATCAACATCTACTGTGTCACTTGCCAGGTACCTACCTGCTCCATGTGCAAAGTGTTTGGGGCACACAAGGACTGTGAGGTGTCGCCCCTGCAGAACATATACCAGACGCAGAAGAGTGAGCTGAGTAACTCTGTGGACCTGCTGATGGCTGGGAATAACTGTCTGCAAGCTGTCATGAACCAGTTGGAAGACACCTGCAAGGCCATTGAGGAGAATGGGCTGCGGCACAAGCAGACCCTGGTTGAGAAGTTCGATCTGCTGTATGCAATTTTGGAGGAGAAGAAAGGTGAGCTGCTGGAGAAGATAGGGCAGGAGCAGGAGCAGAAGGTGAATCACCTGCATTCTCTGGCCCAGCAGTACACAGCGCAGCTTGAAACAGGCAGCAAACTGGTGGAAACTGCAATCCAGACCATGGACAACAGCAATGTGACCGAATTTCTTTTTGCAGCCAAAGAGCTCATCACCAAGACCAGAGAAGCAGCTAAATCATGTCTAGCACAAAAGCCGGAACCAGGATTCGAGAAGATGGACAATTTTACGTTGGTCACAGATCATGCCCAGGCCATCCTTAAAAATATGGACTTTGGAACAGAGGAAAGTGAGGAGTATGAAGATGCAGAAGAAGAAGAGGAGGAGGAGGAGGAAGAAGAGGAGGAATAAACATTAATTAAAAATAACATTGTAGAATATCAATGACAAGGCGAAGGAAAAACTGACAAGCTATAGTTTGTGCAGGGGTCAAAAACAAGTCAGGGTTCTACTTTCTTGGAAAAATGTGAAAAAAGTATATGACAGGAGTAGTTTCTTGGACCCCAGCACTAGCAGATTGGTGCTGTGAATCTACTCTGTAAATAGCTATAAAAGATTTTTTTGTTTGATTTACAGACGGCACAAGTGCTGTGTATGAAAAGAATACAACTTTGTTTTTTTTACTAATGCAAGATGAAACTTTGTATTTATTTTCCTTTTTTTACTTTTGTATTTTGTTGTTGGTTTTAAAATGAGATCTTTAGTATTATAGTGTCATAAAGATTCTCCTGTTATTCCTTTAAACATAGGGACTGTTCATTTTGTTAGTTTAGCTGAAATCCACACTGGATAAAATGAAATTAGCGATAATCTTTAGGTGGTGTTTCCACAACACTGTTATATATTGAAGTTAACTGAAAACAACGTACTTGAAGTAATAGTGCAGAGAGATTTTGTCGTTTGGAAATAAACCTTGTATATATCTAGTGAAATAAAATTGTTTAAAAGTATATACAGTATTTGTGGTTCTTGGTATTTTGAGCTTGGTCCAGTTTAACCTTACTTCCTGTTGTATGAAAAACCAAACAATTTTAAAATGAGCAGAATGAACCCTGGAACCGATCACACGGGAGTCATAATGATACCACTGACCCAGTAGCTGCTCTTGACAATTACAGCACCTGTCTACTCATGAGGTAGCTTAGCACTTATGATTTGTTGGCAAACCGTAATACATTTCTTTGGCAGGTTGTTAAAGTAACTACTGGAAATCGTCTAGAAACCTTTATCATTTAAGCAAGTAAAAGCAATCTGATAGAATTATGTCATCTGTCTGAATTAGTCACTTCAGCCTCAGACACCAGAGAAAACACTGTAATATTAGTATTGGTTACAGTTTTGATGCTACAGTAACAGAGGGGTTCAACTGTCTTCAGGGGCTTGGAAACAGATGACAGATGAGTGGTCTAAATGTGGACCAATCCTAAAAGTGTCTTTATACAGTAAATATCAATGTGGGTCAGCCCACCATCACCTCATAGAAACAGAAAATTGAACTCTATAATGGCCAAGACGAGTGGAGGTATTTTATGTGGTGTAAAAATATATGAAATGAAAATAAGACAGATGTGTATGGAATGTCCATTTGTAACAGTAGTTTAAAGGACAGTAATGACCTCTCTAATAATAGATTTTATCTGTATCTGGGTTCCAACAAATAAGTACTAGAATCTGAGAAATAACAGCCATGACCTGAATAGTTTAAGACCACACCAGCTCATTGAAGCACCAGGATTTAATCAAATTAATTAAACTTTTTTCTTCTAACTACGTTATGTCATGTCAGTGTTTTATAACAGTAACTAATAACTTTTAAGGGAAATCTCGAATTTTAGCCAAATGGCATTAATTTTCAATTTTCATTAAAAAACAAAAACGTGGAAGGAACAAAACATTTTTGCAAAGTTCAGTTCCATTTCAGGTTTGTATCTGTATCCAGGTGTCGTAGGTTATTGTCTCTCCATTTGATTGTTGCTATTAATATCTTTAATGTCGCTATGAGGTGGTGTTTTGTATTGGCTCATGGAAGTGTTGCTATACAGTGAAAAGAAGTGGTGTGAGTCAGCGTAATTACTTGCAAATGTTGTGAAGAATTTATGTCTGGATTAAATCAAAACTGTGACCTCCCCAACAGTCTCGGATTACTAACCTAGTACATCATTATGTGTAGTGAAGGTTGCCGTAGGTTAAAAAGATAAATCTGCTGACAAAAAAAAAAACCTGCCCTGAAGTTCTAGGTTTATCATTTACGATAGGTGGATGTGTCATATTTTTAAATCAAAGTAGGTTTTATCTAAATGCTGTTTTTTAAGTTTTTGCACAGAATCAGATGCCTTTATAACTTTCTAGAAAAAATATAGTCAACCGTTTTTATTTTGTTGCATCTGATTTTTAAAGGGTTGTGGAAGTGTGGAACAAGCTATTCGTCCATGCTGTTGAAAGAAATACCCTGGTTTCTTTGAGAAAATGACTGGAAGTCCTTGGACCAATTAACTGCTAGTTAATTAACTCTCCTTTTCATTTGTAATCATTCTAATATCCTAAAGTTTGATACTCAAGCCACAATCATCATGCCACCCCTTTTCCCCATCTCCTTCATTGTTCCTGTCCTTTTTTTTCCTGCAGAGGCAACACGGAGGAGGGCCCTTGGTCTGGTGGCTCAGGCTTACACCTCAATCACAGCTGACGATTTTGCTGCTTTTGTGGGGTATACAGTGGAAGAAGCTGTAAAGGGTAATCCTGCTCTCTATATGTAACTCCAGGCTTTCGGTCATCAAGGATTTGGATAGCTGTCAGACTTCCCGTGGTAGCTAATTTTGTCTAAGATCAGTCCTACACTGTAAGAAGCCAATTGGATATAGTAGATTTTTTATACATAAGTGGCCCATTAAATAAATTATGGGTGAGGTTAAATCTCTTTTTGAATCTGATTGTGCAATTTTTTTAGAAGTAAGGAAAAGGAGATGAATCATCTCAAACAAACCATTTTCAAATACCAAACTTAACGTTTGAAAGCAATAACTTAAAGAAAGAAAATATGATTTTGCATATTAAAGGATTCGATATAAAGGATTAAATGCCTTATCTCAAAGGCAAGCATTTTCTTAACTCAACGTTTCAATTTTCTTTGATTAAAAAGTGTTTGAACATTACAAATATGAAGACTTTTCTGATTAATTGTAATTAAACAGACCACACATTAGGTAAAAAGCTTCATGTGGTTAAACTGAAGCAGAAGTTTGTGGTTTGGTGTACATCCTGTAGCATGTTTGCACTTTTTCTGGTTTAAAGATCAAGTGAGGGTAACCAAAATTATAAGGAGGAATCCATATTCTTAACTTTAGAGGCTTTTGTGATTTCAGGATAACTTAGTATCTTTGTTTAAAACATGGTTTTAAGTTGTTAGTTATTTGCTTGTACCTTCCAATGTATTTTTCAGGAGTTGTGAGTCAAGGATGGCAGGCGGACCCCAACACCAGGATGGTAATGCCACAGAAGCCAGGTAGGGGGAGCTCTTACTCTTCACACACAAAATACTGTTGTTTATTGGTAGCCTTTGCTGCTGCTTCAGTGTTTACCAGCTCATTTTTGTGTGGCTTTTTACCCGTTTCCATTAGGTTTGGAAAGAGTGCTGTTTTTTATTTTAAAACAACAGATATGTGAAATGTCTTCCAAGATTTTAAATTATAAACATTCAGTTGCTTTGGGCAAGAGGAAAACCTCACTGAGCTATGAATGCAACACAAATAGCAGTTTATTTATTGCAGAATAGTACAGAGTTTTCTCCAACCTTCATAAGTATTGCTGTTATTTGATTTTTCTGGATAATTTAAAGCCCTAACATTAAGTATATCAAGTGTTTCGTGTGCAGAATTTCCTCTTACACCAAATTCTTAGCCCTTTGAAATTTCTGACGTAATTTCTTCACTATTCTTTGCAGACCATATACATACTAGATACACTGTAACTGCACCTTCAATTTTTTAAATATGATATATATTGCTCTTTGTCATTGCTTCTGCATCTGCTAAATGTAAATGCAACTCTTGCCAAACTACTAAACAATCAAAGTATGAAATTCAGTATTGAGAAATCCTAGCATTACATTTTTTTTAAAACCTCTGAAACACATTACTGGTGCTCTGTATTTTGTCTGTAGATTTATAGTAATTTAATAGTAACTTCTGAGGAAGTGTGAAAAAGTACACCCAAAATTGTTTTAATTCTATCAAGGTTTCACACAGTACAGGTGCATAAGGATTGCACAGATTAAGTTTGAGCATTGTACTCGTGGGGCCATCCTGTGTCCTGTCAAAGATCTGTGCATTGTTGTGTGGGATGGCCTAATGCTGAAGAGGGGTGGTATAAAATGGCGTTCTCTCTTCTCTTTTGTCTGTTTGCAGATCCTCCCCCAGTTTCCCTCGTTCCTAACGAGCAGCAGTTGGCTAGACTCACTGACTACGTGGCCTTCCTTGAGAACTGATAAATCCTGAGCCTGTACATTCAACAACAGGCAGACCCTCAGTGAAGTGGACAGTAAAGTGAGGGAATCCCATTTTCCTGGATAACTGTGCTCCAGTTTCGTTTTATCCCACGATACGCATGTTTTACATCAAAGGCCCCACTCTCCAGGAATAGCTGTCTTTCTTATACAGATCTTAAAATGAAGAAAAAAATCAGCCTTCAAATATATCTCCAAGCTGTTTGGTGTGCCAATTCTACATATATTTGTGTGTGAATGAACAGATGTCCTTTGAGAGTTCTGAAAACCCCTGTTTGGAAGAAACTATTTCATCACTTCTTCTCTTGTTTTTATTACAAACCATTTCATTGGTGATCGTTTCTCTCAGTTTGGCATGCCGTGCAGTTTCTGTTACTAAAGTGGAAGACGGTTTCTAAGGAAACTCTGACATCTGTGTACATTGACTTACAAAACTCACATGTGCACATGGTAAGTTAAATATAGACTGCATGCCTTGGCTCACATGAAAGAATAACAGGAGTCTCAAGTGGCAGAATTAACAAATGCACATTTTTTTTCTAGAGTATCCTAAGCAATTAGTATGTCATATTGTCTTTGTGCGTCTTCAAATGCCCTTTACTGTTCAGAATTCACCCTTATGAAGTCCATCTTCCATTGACTAGCTTAATTTAGAAATGTAACTGTATTGCTTGTAAATATGTATAATGCATAGCACTACCTGATGAGGTCCTAGTCATAAAGCCACACACATGAAGAACTTTAAAATGTCTTTTTGGTTATGATTAGAACAATTTTAACACATTGGTAAATAATTGATACATCTTCACAAAAGGTTTTGAAAACGTCATTTAAACTGTGATTGGTGTAGGGAGTATCTGTATGGTCTTGGTTGAGGTTTTAAAGTTGAGGTTTTGTTAAATCTTAACACGGGTGCATTTCCAAAGAATGTCAATTTTGTAGCTCTCACAAGTACAGTTTATTGAGGAACAAGTGGCTGCTGTGTTAAAAAGTTTGAACATAATTTCAGAAAATACTCTTAACCTTTTTTTTATAAACAGTCATAGCTTGTTGGGAATGTTTTCTGTTTAGTAACAGAATTGAGATTTTGAAAATTTGAAGTTAGTGATTTGTTTTTTTCATTTTTTAAAAAGCCTCAAGGGACTATACAGTATTGGCATCTTTCTAAATAAGAACTCTACAAAATGTGGAAAATTAAGCCTGTAATTCTTAAAAAAACTAGTTTGTTACATTTCTTATTGTTTTAAGACTTGTCTGTGAAGCAGTCTTAAAATTGCCTCGGCACTTCCTGTTTACATTACTCTCCCTTGAAGATTAAAGGCCTGTTATTTAAAAAACTGAACTCCATATGATTTTCACTTTAAAATAAATATGGTTTCTATTACATTTGTGCATATTTGTATTACAATGTGCAAACATTAATTGGCTTCAGTTCCCTCTTAACATGCAATAGCTTTTAATATTGTTTGTCTGTAAGCAATGTGCTGAACAAGCCAATGAAATAAAATGCAACCCACAGACCATCCCGTGTGACAATTATTAAAAAATGCTCTATTTCCGAATCATCTGATTCAATTTTTCACCATGAATTGGGCAATCTTAAAATATTTACAGACCAGAAAAGAGCTTTATATTTGATAGCAAATACTGTATCTTCACAGTTGTTTTCATATTTAGACAAGAAATGGATAACCTTGTAACTATTGGAAACAGCTCATTCACATTGGAATTTGTGTAGTTGCTGTTCATTGTTCTGTATCAGTTGGGATATAGACATAGATGGTTGTAATTGAACTGCCTCAGAAAATAAAAGTTAAATGCTGTTTTAATCGTCCAATACAATAGTTTTAGCATATTTATATATACAGTATATAACAAGGCAATGCTTTTCTTGAATGAGGTTAAACAGCACTATCACAACTTCATAATCACTACACAACACGATAGAAGAACTTGCATAATCCTTTGCAATCATTTATACATATAAAATGAGACTTTTTTTAATGGTTCATAAGACATTTTGTCCTGAAAAGAAATAGCTGAACCTGGGGTTCAGATTCATCAGGTAAAAATAATGGAAAATGCCATTAAGAGACTTGAGAGTCACAGGGATTCGGATGCCACATTAGTAGTCCCGTTACATTTGATGTGACATTTTATTGTGTTATATGGTTTTTATTCTTGTTTTATCGTGCTGTGTAGTGTTTCTAAAGGAGTTTCAATGACTTTCAGTCTCATTCAAGCAACTTGTTACTGTATGGTATTGGTATGTTACTGTACTCTTTCTGGTGATTTCATCCATTATGACATTTAGAGATTGTCCACTAGAGACAAATCTTTGCATACCCAGTCAGCTTTAATATGTGACTTAATAATATGATCACAAAGTCTAAGTCTAAATGGAAACCAACAATTTTGTACTTCTCGATATAACAAGATCTACAGTTTTTACAGCTAAACAGTGCTTAGTGATTCAAATTAAATAATACATTGAGGAAATCTCTCAATTTTTTTAACTTTTGGATGTGCACAGTGGCAAAATAATGAAAAAGACTGTGCTTTTCAAAACCATCTGATACACTTAGAAAAACCTGTTTCAGTTTTATAACTCTTTGATTTGTAATATATTTTAACTCACATTTGCACTATGAACACCCTTTGTGTAAGAACATAACTTAGCTATTGATCACTTATCAAAAGAAGACATGGATGATTAATGGTGATTGGACTATAAAGACCTAATGGCAGGATAAAAGCTGAAAAACAAAATGTTCTCTTGACCACATTGCAACCAGAGGACTGCAGCTGTTGCTCTCAAGTCTTGGATGTAAAATCCAAAATGAGCTTTGTGCTTTTGGGAGTGACCATTAAAGAGCTTTTCTGATTGAGAAATTAATTTCTTTGCTGAAATAACTGGTTACCGAATAGCCGAAGTAATTAAAAAGACAAAAAATATTAAAGGAAAATAGTGTAACATTTGAAAAAAGGAAACAAAGTTGTGATTTTCACTTTTGTGTATATGACATCCATTGACTTTCACGACAGAAGACATCTTAAATACTTAATTAAAGCAATTTAATAACAAAGATTAATGGCTTTCTAGGACAGAGTGTAAGCAATATGTTTTTACTTCCAATCTGTTTGGAATGTCTCAGATATCCAACATGTGTAACTGCATGTACAGTACCAACACTCAGCTGACTTAACAATGTGCTGGTGTCAATCACTTCTATTTAAACACATTTTGAAAGTATCACATGGTACACACCGTTAATCCATTACTATTTTTTAAGTAAAGCAAGACATAAAATCCCAAGTACTTTATGGAAAGTATAATTAATGAACAATATTAGTTTATATGTACAACAAATGTTTACCCACAAAGTGCAGTGGTGTCTGTGGGATGGAGGTATTGGAATTCTAAAGCTACTTAATATAAGTTTTGGCACAGTTTTATTTTTTGTTTAAATGATTCACATATATTTTATGTTTTGAGACCTCATAACTATTATAAATTAGGGACAAGGAAAGTGATATATCTAATAAAAAATGCTAAGGTTATCTAAGGGCATTCATAATTGCACCTCTGCATTTTGTGGTTACTTCCAAACATTATGATTCATTGTATTGGCAGAAAGTGTGACAACTATTGGAACTATTGCTCAAAGTTCTTACCAAGAAAGGAGTTTGTCTTACGTAATCATGTGGAGTCTACTTTCTGCAAATGTATTTCTTAAAGATGTCAATATTCAGTGTTGGTGTCTGCTCCGCACTGTTCTATATTATATAATTTTTATTTGCAAAGCAGTGGCAACAGAGGATACAGAATATTTTTATGTCATAATGTTGCATTAGCAAGGATCCACAGTTGTAGGAAACTAACACCCTGATATAAGTCTCTTTTGAATAAAATGATGAATGTGGTAATGTATTCTTAAAAAATAAAAAAGGAAGTAAAAATGAGCTATACTCTAGGTCTTTGAGTTTTTTTGGAAATAAAAGATTGCTGAGAAGGGACACTTTCTCATAATATAATCTTATATAAAAGAGACATAGCAAGACGCTGACTTTCTGAGCCCACTGGCACACAGCTGGGGCAGTATTGTATGACTAGCTTCTAAGTGCTTCCAGTGTTGGAGGTGAAGTGGGATTAAATGACTAACAGTTGTTCCTACAGCAACATTTTGTTTAACCAAATAAGATTTAACTTTCCCACTCATCTGACCACCAGTGCCATGCTTCACACAGCTAATTTTAGGTCTCTGATTCAGAGCTCATCTTCCTTTCTCAGTCAGCTGAGGATAACTCCCCTACCCCACAAAGTCCTTGTCTCATATAACCCTAGGGGTCTCACAAAAAGGCTACAGTTTCAGTACTCCAGAGGAGAGCAAAGTCATCGCTTATGGATCTTGTTACTTGAAATTCACTGCCTTCCAGTCTGCAAAGACATATTTTTAGACTTTCCAGTGGTTGCAGTTGTAATACTGAAAAGAAAAACATTCACAGGTAGTCTACCTCAACATTTTTGGGTGACACACTTATAGTACCTTGCAAATAATCTGTCCATCTTTTACCCAATGTGGTTCAGGATGCACACTAGATGTGGAGGTTTTGTTGTGGTGTATGTTAGCAAGATAATAGTAGATAATCCATGCAGAAAAGAAGAATTGTCACTGCTGAATTGTAGGAGCACAACATAGGGATTTGTCCTCTGATGAATGAATTGAATGGGCTGATTAATTTATTTGTAAATATATCATTGTACACATAAAAAAGCAGTATAATTATGGGAAGAAAAGTTGATTTTGTTTCTTTACACAGCTTGTTCAAAATTGAATTATTTTTTGCAATGCAATTGTATTTATTGTACGTACAATGTAATTATGCAAAATGGAATGAATATTTGAGATTCAACCTAGAAGTTTTTTTTTTTAATCTTGGAAAAGTAAGGAAAACAAGTAAACAATCTGCAAAATGAACAAGGCACGAGCACAGTCTTTTTAAAGGGTTGCTCATGGGGTTTGGCTATTTGTTCTATGAGTTTAGGAACATCTCTTGCTTGAACTATAATAATAATTACCATATTCATAGATTTACCTTGTAATTACTCAAAATAGGCATTGGTGTAACATGCATTACAATTTCACATTTAGTTCAAGTAGGTAGCTGCATCAACATGTGTAGGCTGCAAAGGAACAAATAAAGGTTTATTCCATGCTGAAAAGACAAGAAAAGAAACACAATATTTTGGCTATGGAGCCATTATAGATGTGTTTTTCTTCCCTTTTCAGCAATAAACCTTTACTTGTTCAATTTCATGTTTAGTTCCTGTTATAAAGACCGGTGGTCATTGTTGGGTTAATCAGCCTAAGGCTCGTCAAATCCACCAATCACCCATTATCATAAAGCTTCTTATTCCTAGGAAACTTAGGGCACAAAGTGGAACCGCATCTTGGTACATCTCTGGGCAGTCACACGCACAGGGGTAATTTAGAGACACCAATTAGTACATGGTATTTCTATCAGAGGTGTTTGATTTTAGGCATGCAGTGGTTGAAACTGATCAATTTGAAAGCCACAAAAGAGTTTAAGAGTTCATATTTATGGAACTTGATAACTTAAAATCAATTTACAGATGATAAACTAAGAGCTGTTAAAGGGTCCTGTTTAATTAATGAAATTTCAAGGTGAATTAAGGGTTCATTTGTATAATTCAGAGTTCGGCAGCCCTGGTCTAGGGTATCCAGATCTTAAACATGTACGTAGGTAAAGGCTAAATACACATTAGAAGCAAATCTTCTTGTACATAGTTGCGCAATTCTTTAATTATGTGAATAACAGCTCTAACAGAACTGCATGGGGTTAAAAAGTGGCAATTACACGCTTGTCATTCTGTGATGTCTGTGATTAAGGAAGTGGTACTAATGTAAAACCTGTTTACAGTGAACACTGAAAGAATGGGATTCCTAACAAGTGTTAATTACTTTGCTTCAGGTGAGGAGGAGCAAGAGCACCAGAGATAATATATTAGTGCACTGTATCTGTTTAATGTATATATGTACAAAGAAAAGTACATGCTTTGCTGTGAAGATTACCATATGTACAGTATGTGGTGAGTTGATTACAGTGTACCATTTTATTTAAATTAATTTCATTTTTTGAGATAATGTATTACATTTAATCTGTGACTAATTCTCTTAGATCGGCTATTGAGTCTACAGGGAGGAATGTGCATTGTTTTGCTCACAGGAATCCCCTCTTTGATTTTGTCTTGGGACATCCGCCAAAAGGAACAAAGTCTAGCCGCAGTCTCTGGCCTGCTTAGTCTTTGTGGGGGTCTTCTGTGGCTGTGGAAAACAAGAGCAAAATTGTGGCAGACCCAAAGGAATGAACTCTGCCTTTTCAGCACAAGAAGGAAATTCCTAGTAGCCTAGCCTAAACCTGACCACCAAAAAGGCCGAATAACATCTTTATAGATTTTTCAGTTCTAGCTGACAGTGCATTAACTGGTAGCACTTATAAAACTAGCATGCGGCCATCTCTAAAGGTGCTTAACCAAAGTCTTCTCACTGAGGTTTGTAAAGTTTTAACTTCTTTAATTTGATTTTCTTTTTGGTTTCTGTACTGTTGGAAATGGTGCCTCCTCAGCGGCCTGTTTCCCCTATTCCTTGAAGACCCTCAATTGCTTGTACAGCTTATACTATTGATTGCACATTAACTTGAGTATAATCTGCAACAGTTTGCTTTTTGCTTTTCCTTAAACCATTCAGCCTTTCAGGGTTATGTTAGGTGTAGTTTTATTCCACATCTGAACTGAATTTATATGGCTTGAATTCTGTTCATATTTCTGTGCATCAAACATAAATCCTGTTGCTACTTCTAAGTGATCCAAACACATTTCATATCAATTTTAAGATTATATTTTTCTTGGTTAAACTAAAGCTTACATAAAGTAGGACAAATCCTTAATCACAATTTACTCTGTATAATTTTTAGACTAGGGTGGAGTTTCTTGTGTATAAAGAAAAAAAAAACATCTGATGTGAGAAATGTTTCCATGTGAGTCCTGTGAGTCATAAAAGCTGAAATGGTGCTGTAAGGTCTCCAACTACCAAAAAAAACAGAAAAGAGACAAATGGTGTATTTGTATTTAATATGAAGTGATTAATGCTCATTCAAAATATACTGATTCTTGTGGATACGTGATTCATTTTGTTTTTCTTTTAACAGTATCTTTGACATCTCTGTGTCTTGCTTCAGAATGAAAAGGTGTACATGTGGTTTCCCAGCTCATGTCCAGACTGGTATATTTCTTCAACCTGTGTAACATTAATAGCCTGATACTCTTGTTCCTTCCTGTTTGATGCTAAACTATTGATACCTGCTTTTATTAAATCAATGTTAGACTTCTGCAACATCTTACTGGAGTGTGCTCTAAGGTAGTAAAATAGGCTTTAGTCTAGAATTAAGTGGTCCTTATAAGAACTGAAAGTATTGTATATCAACGCATAATTTCAGACTTTTGTATGATATTCTTGTAAATGTGCAACATTGAATCTTCTGGTTCCTTTCACATTTCATGTGGAGTACGGAAAAGTTAAGTTTTTCTTAAAAATAGTATTTTTGTTGGTTGAGCTGAGGTTGTTTTCTGAATTTAAAAAACAGAAGTAATTGCCCTTTCTAGGATCCCTGACTAGTTTAATATAATTTTCCAGCTATTTGATGATTTAAAGAATACACTTAATTACTTGTGATGAATAATGAAAGCACAGTTTACAGTAGTACAGTAATAATGTATGTAAATGTCACAGCTCTGAGTTATTTGAAAAAAGATGTTTGTAAAAGGAAGCACCGATAAAAAAGGAATTTGCTCCTCTTTGGAAACAGAAGGCAGTGCTTTTCTTTCTCTTTGTTATTAATTTTTATGCAACCCCAGTGTTTATTTTCATACCCAGGGTTTTTTGTGATATCTTGCAATGCCACTTACATCTTAAACAACAAAATAGAGATGTAAATTCAATGTTTCATGGAACCTCAGCCCATTACATAACTACAGTGTGCATAACCACTAACGAACATCAAATGTACATTTTAGATTTGGCAGCTCATTTACCTTTAGATATTTATCTATTATAAATTATATTCTTATGTATGTTTTAAACAGGAGATTGGGGCAGAAAAAAATGAAGTCTGAAATTCCTAGTAAACTTCACCTGAACAATGATGAAAAGATCTAGTGTTTCAAAGTATCCCAACCTTAAAGATCCCATTGAAATTCAGAGGATGAAGAGTGGAGCAGGGTGATTTAAAAACAACCATTAAATCTTTGATTTAATGGTTGTTGGAGATGTAATGTCTTTTGATGCAGCTGTTCCTTAGAGCCATGTGATTTTTATGAAGTCCTGTATCTTGCCACAGGCAGAGCATTTTCTTGGCATGGAAATGATTTTCTTTCAAGTTCTAAGTGTTTCTTTTGGATTTTAAATGCCTTTGTTGGTACAGTATTCTTTTTGTAAACATTTTCCTTCCCTAGCCAAATATATCCACCTAGCTCATTCTATGGTCTATTGAATGGCACTAAGTACTGTATATATTAGAATGTTACATATTATGTACCTTTTAGAAAATACCTGTCCTACTTGAGTTATTTGAACAAGCAACACCAATAATGAATACACAAGAGCCCATGATAAGGTGTATTTAGATTTCAGAAGGCTTTTGATAAAGTTCCTCAGAAGAGACTTAAATTCTAAAATTACAGATGATAGAAATTGAAAGAACCACATACATTTGGTTTGAGAATTGATTAATAGAAAACAGCAAGTACAGATAAGGAATAAATACTCAGATTAGAGTGATCTACTTAGAGGAGTACTGCAGAGATCTCTACTCTCTGTATAGTATACAGTAAATGCAAAATGGGAAATGCTGATATAGAAGAGGCTACTTCTGAAAAATACATT